AGAATCTTTATTTTTGTTCTCCATTTTTTAGACGCTGAATTTTCCATTGAAGAGAACTGCTAGAAAACCGTCCAGAACTCAGAAAGTAAAAGTTCTAGAAGGCTCAAAACTTGGATTTATAGGTTTTCACACCTGCTGAACAAGACAGGACTAGTTAGAAGAAAATCTGAGACATCGACTGAGCATGGTCTTATGGTAATCTGTCGTTTTTCTCGTGCAATAGCTTCTATGGAGAAATTCTGTTAAAATTTTACAATGTTATAGTCATGCACTTACAACATCAAGCGCATGGCTAATTTTTATGATTTCACTAGAGATCACGCGTGGAAATAATTACAAGCACATGAAAAGCGTTAAATTCACGCATGATCAATACACAGACGCAACTTTTACTCTTGGTGATGCAAGAAAAACGCAACGGAAAAATTCTCGAGAGCATTTTGCGCACGGTCAAGTGAGAATTTTTTTCTGGATATGTATTTTTTTGATCACCAACTTTATTCATTGCGAAATGACCACCAAAAAAATACACTTTTGATTACCAAATTAATTAAAGAAAAATAAAGTAAAAAATCTCCCATTTTGCAAGCCAATTAATTAAGAGAAATATAGATTTTTTTCCTTCTTAGTAACGGAGCGCAGAACAATTAAGTAAGTCTTAAAAAAGAAAAGAAAAGCGTTGACAGAATATAATTTCAAGCGTCCTTTCTTCAGCAACTTCAAAAATATACTTATACGTCTGGTATCATGACTAAAATGCGGTTAGTGGAATGTTGTTTTCTTACTCACTCTCAGTATCCACCTGCCGCTATCTCCCACCTACGCCCTTATGGGCAAGGTATGTCACAGAAGAGCTGCACTACACATTGAACAGAAAAGAAGAACAACTGCATATGTTTCTCACTGTTGATTACATTACTTAGAAGGAAAAAAATCTATAATTAACTGGCAAGATTTGTTTATTTAGTTTTTGTTAATTAATTTGGTGATCAAAAGTTCTATTTTTTGGTGATCATTTCGATAGAATAAAATTTGGTGATTAAAACACATTTTTCTCTTCTCGTATTTATCCATATTCCACGATATTCATATGTGGCCACATGTCGTTTTACAATATTAATAGTAGACAATACACGGTGTATTGTCTATTAAAATTTCCTCATTGGTAAGCTTGTCATAAAATGGCGTAGGACTCTAACGATGAATTTAAGAAAAAAGAACGTTGTCCTGACAATATTAGATACTTCTTCATAAGTATACTTAGTCATATAAACATTTTTTATGTCTAAAATTCAATCATGTCGTTAAGTCGGGAGATCTAAGTAACAGTTCATATTAACTGATTGAAATCATAAACTCAAATCAAGTGTCTGTTACATGTCAGTTAATAAAACTGCGTAACAATTTGTTTCAATCATTGCTTTGATGCTTAGTAATGTAATCATCATTTGTCTTTTCACCAGCGTGTATATAGTTATTCAACAGATATATTCTTCTGATTTCGTCTATCGTTACGTAAATGATAGTTCTCATCGCGTAATGTCTACTATAGGTTCATAAAAGAATAAGCAATAAATTAGTATAGACAAAATATGTTTTATCTATAAATAGAACTTCTACCAGATATATGTATGTGTGGGTTCAGATATATAGATATATCTATCTATCTATCTATCTATCTATCTATATATCTGTATATCTACACTGACCAAAAAGGAGAGAGAGAGGTTAATATTATTATAAATATCTACGGTTTATTTATTATATATTCATAGCAACACTAAATCCTTGATAGTTATTTTATAATCTTCCATTTAGAGAACGAGTTGATGTTAAACTTAAGCAGCTTAACAACAAACTTCTTTTACTACTGCACACACAACGCACCATATTATTCAATGAGCTACCGCACCAGATGACAAATGCCCATCTAACAGATAAACAAAATAATTTGGCTAAAAATCTTCTTGCACAGTTTTTTTGTAAATGAATTTGACGAAATTTTCTACTTTAGTAGTATCTTTAAGCATCACATGACATTGTATTAATATCAAATATCTCTTGTTCAAGTCCATCAAAGTACTGAGATACTTTAATATATACATTTGCCGCTGTGATTAACTAGTACACTGATGTTTTCTTTTCGCCAGCATCATCTGACTCAACTGCGATTTGTTCTAATGAATAGAAAGATTTTGTAGATTTTATCTTTTTCCATCCTTTATCATGTCCGATTTTCAGCTATTTTTGCGATTTAACCAATAAAAATGGAATAAATATAATTTTGGTAATCATCAGTCGAACTATGTAAATTTTTTATGATCTATAACATATTTAACTTTTCATCTTTGAACTGCCTCATGGATAAATCTAGAGTTCATTTTTACAAGTTTTTCAATCTTCACCTGGAATGTTGAATATTCTCGTACATCAGCAAACAGAAATTCATTCAAAATATAGTGAAGTATCGATCAGTTTAATAATCTCATACTTTTTTTTCAAAATAAAATATTTTGTCTATGTACACTTGATTAATGTCAAAAATCACGTATTAACTTACTCTTAATATAGCCAATACAATTCTTGCATCTCCGGCTTGAACAGCTATTGTACTAATAGTTGTTGTCGATGATGTAGATGAACTATTAAAATCTGCATCTGATACATCTACTTGTAACTGTGATAAACCATCCGTATTAAAAATATGTGTCGTTGATCTTGTATGCGGTTGTTGATCACTTTTGTCCATATCTATTCTTAATTTTTCAATAGTTTTAAAATCAAATATTTTGTTAACGTTCAAATTTTGACAATTAATTTAGTTTATTTTATTTTCCAAATTGTTACGAAAACCGTTCTTTTGATACCCAACCTACAAGGCGACAGCACCTTTTTTTTTTTTATTTCTGGAAAACAGATATTACTATTTCTCTTTTTCACTCTATAACGTCCTTTTTTCTGTCGACAATTTCTCTCTTTCTGTAACATAAAATATCGGATACCGCATTATTTCCTTGTACACACACATTTGTTTATTAATGATAAATGGATTTTTCGTGCTTGTATATCACTCAAGAAAAAAGAAAAAACGACAAAAGCTCGTCTTGGTTATTACTATAGAGTATCAACATTTTTAGAAAAAGGAAAAGAACTTTTTTCTTCTTCTCCTCTGTAAGGTGGCTACGGTTTTAGATAATCTCTATGTAAGAAAGAACGTTTTTTTTTTCTTGTCCTGTTCAATGATTTTGTTGTTGTAGTACAATTTCATCGCGATAATTTTCTCTCAAGAATCTTACACCATATCATGTACACACATCACTATGAGATTTTTTTTCTTCTCTTTTTTTTCTTCTGTATTCAACCTTAAGAACTATCCTATATCCACATATTTAGTTATAAAAAGAGTTAATCTACATTTGTTTCCGGAAGTTCATGCTGATACCAATGTCAATGCGTTCGTTATCGAAGCCATTCAGGGTTAAACATTATTGTCGAGAGACTAAAAGAAATGTATAATCGTGCTATTTGAAAAAAGACAATTGACATATATTACATGACAATGTATTATTCTTCAATAATAATTTAAAATATTATGACATTTTTTTCACTTCTTTCACTCTAAAATCTTCTTTTTTTATCAGTACGACGTTGCGAAGGTTAAATAAATTGATATTTATAAAATATAATAGAATTAAAATTATTTATATTCGAATTGTAGCAGCATTTTTAAATTGTTCTCATGCAATGACACCCAACCATCATAGTATATGGTACCATTTAAAGTTTTTTGTGTACTTTTCTTTTTTTTGCTATTTATATTGTTTTTTAATTCTTCTAAGAGTACGTATAAAATTAATATGATTATTTCAGTAGAAAAAGTTCAATTCAAAAATTTATTGATTATTTTTTTCTTTTGTTTCTGTAGGCTCAACTACTTCGTAATTATAATCTTAATAAAATAAAAACATGTTGTTGATTGATAGTTTTCTTAAAATAGTTGGTAAGCTTTATTAGATTAAATAGGATAGGTCAACAAAAGAAAAGAGAACAAATAAATAAGTAAGAATAGGGAAAAAAGAGAAAAAGGTTAAACTTATGACATCATTCTGTCTGTTCATTCGTATAAGAATTGCTAATAGTTATATAGAATCCATAAATGATCTACGTGGGATGCTAAATTGTTTTTCAATTATTGTAGTATTTGTGACAGATAAGAATATGACCCGTTTCTCTTTTACTGTCTAAGATTCTAATCGACGGTGATTGAAAATAAAAAATGAATCAATTTATTCTCATGTCAAAAAGAAATGCTATGGTGGTGTATACTTCAAAGGAAAATTTATGAAGAATAAATTATTATTAGATTGATTGATGATATTTGAAGGTTAAATGTAAAAAATAGCTCTTCTACTAATTGTTTTATTAAAATAAGTTTAGGTTCTTTTGTTACTCTTCTGCTTGAATTTTACTTTTTTTTCATTCCTCATCTATGATAACTACAATGCGTTCCAAAATACAATAGTCTCGAATATTTTTCGAATAAATTTTCACAGAAATGAGATAGAGACCTGTGGTTTTCAGTTTTGAAAACTAGACACCTGACCACATATTTCTGTAAGCAAAAGCGAATTTCAGAAAAGCTTCTGAAGTGGGTTTTTCAGAGGATGTTTGGAAAAATAGCTTGGGTGTTCCGAATTTCACTTTTGCTTACAGAAATATATGGCCAGGTGTCTAGTTTTCAAAACTGAAAACCGCAGGTCTCTATCTCATTTCTGTGAAAAGTTATTCGAAAAATATTCGAGACCATTGTATTTTGGAACGCATAGTAGTACGAAGTTCTCATTATGAGAATGTTATCATATTGCATGACAAAAAGATAGTTTATATAATTAGCAGTGTAGTTTAATTTATACAGATTTTTACCCTCCTACAAGGACTAAACTTTTACATCTCGTTTTCGTATGAATTAAATGAATCAATTATTGATGGTTCTAACTGTTAATGCTGCCACTATTAATAATAAACGTCTTTTCGAATATACAATAGCTGCAAACAGTAATTCTTATCTACGCATATTAATAGAACAGGAAACTTTTGAAAGATGACATGTGCTATGGAAATTGTAGCACGTCCTTGCCCTTGCTTCTGTAGTGAGCAGTTTGTTTGTTTTCATTTCCATGGACAATACTTATTCAGCACTTCTTTCTACCCTGATTAACCAGAAGAAGGAAAAAAAATTATTATACCAACAGAAAAATAAACATACCATTAGAAATTATTAGTACATAAAAAGCGAAATTATTTATCAGATTGGCAGATCTAAATAAAGAGCCGTATAAAATATAACAAAAGAGAGGATTATTAAAATAAAGTGAAAATATGATTACATCTCTGTAATGTATTGAATTGAAATAAATGTTACCGTATACTTAGATCATTGTTGAGTGAGAATTCCGTCAGAGGTATGTGCCATATGTTAATATCTAACGCTAGTTCACAAAAAGTACTCTTCACTCAGAAGCATAAAAACGGGCGAAAGTCATTTTTTACAAAAACGTCCTGAACAAAGGATTATGGAATTGGTTAGATGGTTATTTCACACGTTCCGATCTGCAAAAGATATAGATTTATATGAGGAACAAGGAGGAGCACTATGAGCCGTTTCACCCGATGTGAGTACGAACTGTACTCCTCTAGTATAGATACGATGCGTCTGACCATGGTTCGATTACTGTCCGTACTTCTCTAGAAAGAGACGGGTAAAGAATGACAGTGTGTCTTAGAATGCCTGTGAAGTACGGCTCGTACCATCTGCATTCTTATCAAAAATTCAATTTTGGTACGGAAGTCGAAGCAAAATATCGATTGAGTGTTAAAATACTCGTTCGGTTTGTGTTTTTAAGCTCTTGGAAGAAACAAAAATAATTTATAGCCTGATCGATGCATACATTATAGGAAAATATGTACACTATAACTTATTTTTGTTTAAAGAGTGTTGTTTGGAAACCAGCTTCCGATATCACTGTCTGATACACTCCATAACGAGGTCCTAGCTTAATACTGACCCAAAAAAGTGCACTAAATCATAGTAATTTGTAAGTTTATGTTCCACGTAAAGAGATAGTTTGCACGGAACGATTAAGTTCGAATATGTTTGTTTGGTTTTTTGTAAAAAGTAAGGTAGTACTTAAAGCCGTTAATAAATTAAAATTTACATTCGCTTTTTTTTAATTACCGTCGTTGCTGGCAGTATTCATAAAATGAACGAAACCATAGAGTAAACATCGATCTCACATGTCAATAATAATTATGTGTATATAATAAACAATCCGCAGAAAAATATTTTAATTCTAAATGAAATTTCAAAAAACTTTCATTTAGCAACAATTTTTTTCTCACCTATTGTAAAAAAGTTCATGACTTGAATGTCGAATTGTTATGTCAGTGTGTAGTCAAGTTCATTGTAAATAGAAGAAAAGTATAATTAATATTATTTAATACGTGCAGAGTTTTGGATGACTCGATCCAGAACATTCTCAATCATTATCTTCTAATATTCATTCACTTTTATACGTTGACAGTACTATATTATATTATTGCACTGTTTTTTTCCATTCGAAAAATAAAACCAGCGTACGTATACATATTTAAACATTTTGTAGTCATATAATGATAACAAAAAAAAAAAAGAAGAGGAAACGATCAGATATAGAAAATAGCGCTTTTAAGAGTAAAAAAATCTAAACAATAATAAAGCAAACTATATAGCACAATTGATAATCTTAGTAAAAATAACACCATAGATTAATTACATCTTATTCGACAACATGCTGTTGTTGAGATCCAAATAAAATGTTTAATTTTCTCTTTGATATACGCCAATAAAAATTAAACATATTTGAATTAAATAAACCAATAAATAATAACAAAACAAAGTAAATAAATAAGCATAAATAAAATCGATGATTCGATAAAAATGTTCGAATTATGGATGTTTGATTTGATCTAAAAACAAATAGAGATAGTCAAATTTTTAATAAAAAAAACAAGACAAATGATGCATAGTAAATAATTAATGCTTAAAAGGTTTTTAAACAGATGAACACACATTCTTTAAGAGCAAATGCATACGCTACAATACTCATACATCATAGACGTTATTATACAATTCATCAACTATTAGTTTTAATTTTTGAATATTTTTTTAGTTTTAATTTTTTGAATAATTTTATTTTTCTATATATTTCAGTTACCTTATTGAATCGTTTGGTTCGGAATAAACTAAAATATATTTGACTCGTGCCAAATCATTATTTGTCACAACCACATATTGTTCAGGCACAGCACCAGCTTGAGAATCTTTGGCTTGCCTTCGCGATACTGGTCCATCTTGAAAAAAAATATATATTTATTGAAATGAAAATATATATGTGTATTATCAACAAAAAAACGTTTTCAGTACATACTCTCTGTGGCACATTTGACATATGCTGGATCATCAATAATTTCACATAATAGTAAACAACTAAGACGTTTTCCAAATAGACTATTTGCCCATACGGATGAAAATGGACTATAATGAAGGGATACAGAAGGTTCAAATGAAAAATATGTACCACATCCAAATAGTGATAACTAAACGATAGAACATAACAGTAATATTCAAGTAAAGAAAAACAAGAGATATTACTTACGCTCTACACATACCTTATTTAAATGTCCGAGAAAACCAGTATGTAAAATTGAATGTAAATTATCCAATCGTGTACCATGATAAGCATATGTTATATTATACTTATTGTTCTCAGTTAATTGTTCAAATCGTTCTTGTCGATATTTACTATAAACAACTTCGAATACATAATCAGGTGATTGAATAGGTAATTGATGTTTAACAAATGATAATGCCTAAAAAATACATAAAATACACTGTATTAATAGCAGACATAGTAGACAAATAATATCGTTGAATTACCACTTCAACTGGTACAGTATTGAGTTTAAATGTTTCTTTTGTTAATAACCAATTGAATAGTTGAACTTGTACATCGTCTAATTGTTCATTAACACTAATGAATGTCGTTACTGGTGGAAGACGAAATATTTTTAACTAAAATGATAAACAAATTCATTCGAAAGATCATTGTTATTTCAACCTTTACAAAGCTTTGTTTCTACAAGAAATTTTTTTTTAATATTCTTTCTTTTTATTTGACAGATGTTCAGTCCAAAAATAAAAGTTTAATTATTTCTCAAAAAACAAAAAAAATATTTACTTCTTATTAACTTACCAGTTTTTCAGTATCAAAACCGTTTAAAAAATTTGGTATTGGTTTAAATACTGTTTCACGCTTATAACTTTCATATGCTGTTCGTAATAACGTAAGTTGAAGATCAAATGCGTATAACTCTGAATTGGTCAAATTATTAAACTTATTAGCAAATAAAACTCGTTCATTCTTTTTAATAACTTCTTTTTGTTGTTCTTTTGATTGTTGTTGATGCTGTTGTTCGTGAAGAACATCGGCTTCCACTTGTCGTTGATGCATGCATACGAAGAGAATTCAGAATAAAGCAAATAAGAACAAAAATCTAAAAATCGAAGATAAATATTGCGACACATTAACATAGATAGCAACATGTTTGTCAAAATCGATTACCATTAGTACATGCAAAAAAATATCACTGTACAAAATCAGTCAAAGTTGTCAAATAGTGATTTCATTTGCAAGTGTATACATATGAGCAACAAGCATGTTTACTAAATAAAGACAATTGAATTTTGTTTTTTCCTTTACATGTTTCTCTCTACTTTAATTCGTCGGAAAAGCAAATCATTTCACTACCATTAAGAATAATTCCTCTCGATCGTTTTCCTAACAACCGTGTTTCATCCTTTTTCAATTTTCAGTCATTCTCCTGATGTTAACTTAACAATTCGAATAAAATAGATGATTTTACAACAAAACATTTTTCAAATCAAAAAGATATTTAAGAAAATAAATAATGCCAAATAAGCACAAATTTTTTCTTAAACTGTCCCTCCATAAAACTATTAAAAAAAAGGAGCTTGAAATTGGCACTGTATCCTACATTGTTGTCACTTGTAAAGTAACGATACCAAATTAATGAGCTCCACTGTAATATTAACTGATTCTACTGGAAATCAAATGGAAACTAACGTTTTTAAATTATAGAATTTTGGTAGCAGTTCGTCGAGTCAACACTGGCGTGAGTTGGCTTTTGGACAGATAAAAATTTTCCTCAGATTTCTTTGTGAGAATAATTGCATATACAATGCTTTTATAATAAAATACAACATTTTTTTCTCTTTTGATTTAGGAAGTTCTCTTCTGTCTAGCAGAAAGGTTTGAAACTTAGCAATCCCGTTTAATTCACAATAACGACTCCTTTTTAAAGACAAACGAACTTGATTTTTATTTTATAACTGTATAAAGTTGTCTATAAATGAAAGGTAAAAAACCAAATAAAGAACAAAGAGTTTTTTTTTGAAAGAAAACCAACAAAAAAAGTTCGCGAATAAGTGACACAATAAAGAAGGACGTGGATAAATTCTTGTTTTGTTTCTTATTAAACATAAACAGAATTTTACTTGTTTCATTCCTTGGAAGATGAACAGTGAGTTTTGGTTTGAAATAAAAATCAAAAAAGGAATAAAACATAGAGTAAATGAGTAATAATAACCGTAGGTAGTAGATACATTCTGTGTATACAGTAAGTGCAAAAACGAACGAACAATAACGAAAAGAAAAAAGAAAAACATGTGAGGGGATGAAGAAAAGAACAAACAATATTTAATAATAATAATAATAATAATAATAATAATAATAAAAGAGATAAACACTTACACATACACACGAAAAAATTGTCTCTCTATGTCATATGCACATTCTTCTTTCGTTTCTTAACGAAAAAGACAAATGGTTTATTAGTCACTAGTTAATTGTTCTTCACATATGTTATGGTTTATTATCATCATTGGACTTTCCATCTTTATCACCATGGGATTGGTGTAATGCTTGTCTCGTATGATGAGTTAACAATGGCAGTTGTAGGTTATGGATGAGGTTTAGCATAGTTGGAGTAATGTAGTTGTGGTGGTTGCTGATTATACATTTGATGATGATCAAATTGAAGTGACGATGCTGATTTTTGATTATTTCCACTACCATCGCCAATAAATGGCTGAATATTTGGTGCTGTAGGTAATATTGGACGTGACCGAGCTACATTGTTGTTATTGTTTCCTTGAGGTTGTGGGAATGAAATATAATTTTTGTTATTCGGACCAATATTAGAAGATTGTTGTTGATGAGTACCACCATAAGAACGATTAATATTACCAATTGAACCTATAATAAAGAAAAACTTTGGTGGATTGAAAATAATGAGGGTGCTATTCTTTAAAACAAACCTGGTAGCCCTTGCTGATGCTGCTGTTGACGATTCCCGTTACCACCATATTGAAATTGAGATTGAAATGGATAGCTAAGATTTGGCTGTTGTTGTTGATACTTTGGAGGATTTTGAGATTGTGCCAGAGAGGGTTGATTCGGTGTTGGCATTGGTAGAAAATTTTGTGTTTGTAATGATGCAGATCGAGAGGGAGGCGGCGGTTGTAAGGGTATCATGGAAGGAGGACCATAGTCATTACGGTCATTTGATGGTGCATGAAACCTTATTTGACTATAGGATTCTCTTTGACTATAAGCCTAGAATGAAAGACAGTAGGTAAATCATAGCTAACTTAGAAAAGACCGCTATCTATTTAAACTCTTTATTAGCTAAGTTATACTTCATTCTTTTCAAAAGGTTCTCAGTAATATTTTAAAGAGCAGCTCATGATATACAAAGCCAAGTTTGGATAGATAACGAACGCAACTGAATAAATATACTGGATAGGATAAATGCATGGATTGTTTACGTTCTGCCTTTCTTAGAATAGCGAACAGACGCACTTTTACAATCTACCCACAAGGCTACTCCCGAATCACAAGTTTTATTGGAGCCTCATATTGCTGTCTTGAATATTTTTTAAAATAGAATAATTTTTAAGGGCATTAGAATACAGTAATATGTTTAACGTTAAAAATATTACTATATTATAATGTCGTTAAGAATTATTGTATTTTATCAATGTTCTCGTTTTGCTATGTCATGAAACTTATTTTACTAATGAGAGCAATGCAAATATCTCACAAACTTGTCTTAAAAGTTCCAAACAGAACTTACATTCGCTGAAGGATTTTGATTATAAATTGGTTGATAAGAAGATGGTCCCGTAGCTGTAGATGTATCTGGAGTATTATATGCATTTGTTGGTGGTGGTTGATGAGAAGCAGATGAGTAATATGGATTTGTTGGCTGTGGTTGTATATTTCGATTTGACATCATTTGACGATTCATCATCTGCGTTGGCGGAGCCTGTATCACCGTACCATCTAATACAAATAATGAACTATTATTGAAGGAATTCATTGGCGGCGGATGTGGTGGCATTGAATTATTCGGTGCTGCTACAAAAACATACTGTTTAAAAATGGTAAAATAGCTAAGAAATTTTCCTTACCTGATATTGGCGATTGCTGTGAATGCGGATGATGATACATAGAGTTCGGATTTGGCACTGATGACATATAAATCGCCTGGTTACAAAATGGATAGTTTTGTGGATACTAAAAATGCAAATAGGTTGATTATAACACTGCAGCATTAAAATAATTGAAAAATGTGAGTAAAGGAAAATAGAAAAGTATAGTAATATTGCGAAAGATCGTCGGTTCTTTTTAGTAGTAACAGTTAATATACAACCAAGGGGATAACAGCATGCAAATGTAGAACGGATCTTGAATTTATTGGGTTCCTAACATAAGTTTTCCATGCATACAAGGTAATGAAATAGTTCGATAGTAGAACCATCAATCCAAA